TTCACACAAAGAATAATCACCAAAAGTTAATAAAAAAATATTTTTTTTAAAAAAGTCATCCAGTAACTGAACACACAGTAATTTAAAATATTCAACATGAACTCCATGCTACATTAAAAAAATAACCTGCATCACAAAAAACAACCTGTACCATTTCAAGGAATCTAATCCTATTTTTAAAAACTGCAGAAATCTACTATTTTTCAAGTAATAGCAAAAAAATATTTATCTCTTTTACTCTAAAATAAAAATACTATTTGCAGCTAGTAATTGATAACAATATCATTTATCCAAAGCAGTCTACCTTCCTGCAGATGCATTTTCATTCAATGCCTGACCCCACTGAGCAGTAAACAAGTTTACATGTATCAACACATTTCAGTGCTCCAAAAATTAAGCTAAGTTTCTGGAACTACAACAACATGATCTCTTAGTAACAGTCCTTCAGTACTATAATTCTAAAACAATCTCTAAAAATGGCTCTGACATACACTGTTTATATATTTGGGATCCCTTCAAAGTTTAAGGCTTGCAGATGTAAAATACAAATAAAATAACTAAAAAAAAGAATTACCTTTATCTGATCACTGCACCAGATCACTAAGGAATTACAAGTCCTTTCTGATTTATTTTATAGCATTTTTAAATAGTAGGGGTATTTTTATTATTGCACACACTGAAAATCAAATATAATGCCACACTCAAAAAAAATACTACTACAACAGCTTGATAGCACTCACCGCAAGTAATACTGTTTTAAAGCGAAGGCAGCGTTAGAACAACTTCTGGGAAAGTTAAACTCCTCTACAATTTCTCCCCACTGATTCTTCTCTGATACCTGTCAAAAACAACACACAGGCCGAGATACACAACGTACACATAAACATGTCGTTGACAGCAAACATCACCAAAAAATCCCACAAGCTGCCATGAAGGAAATAGGCAAATATATAAAAAGAAATAAACAAGAATGTGTATGGGATTTAGGACTATATATATTTTCCTGGCAGTCGGTGGTATTTCCCCTTCGGGAATAATCCTGCTTCTCACCGTGGTTTTTTTTCTGTATTTATTTTTTAATACACGTATCATTTTTTGGGGGGGGAGGGCTGGGGGGCGGCCGGCAGGGTTCGTATTGTTTTGGGGGGGTTTGTTTGTTTTTTTCTTTTTTTAGTCCAGCCTTGAAGCCTAAAGATGGCTATTTGATTACACACCGTCTTGGGTGCCCCTTTTGTTATTTTTCTCCGGGAAGGGCTCGGAGGGCAGCGCCCGGCCCCCCCCGGCTGCGAGGATCGTTTCCTAGCCCATGCTCCGTGCCGATTATCGATGTTAAACATGCCCGCTAATTTTGAGTTGCACTAAAACTGCGCTCAGACTCTCTCCTCTCTGTCTCTCTCTCTCCCTCTCCAAAGAAACTGCCCCTCGCCCACCGGAGAGCTCCGCTCCCCCCTCGCCTTCTCCCCGGGAAGGGGGGGCAGGGGCCGGGGGCTCCGGGGGAGGCACGGGCGGGGTGTGCGCCGTACCCCCGGATCCCCCTTCCTCGCTCCGCCGACAAGGCCGAGCCACCAACCTGCCTGTCTGCTCGCTTCCTTCTTCCACCCCCCACCTTCCCTAACCGGCTTTAAATAGGACGGTTCCCGGCCACCCCGGCTCCCCCCGCCGCCCCCGGGGGTCAGAGGAGACTTTTGGGAAGAGGTTAGTGGGAGGGAAACCCAAATTAAAACTTCCACTCACCTTCCCAAATCCGCCTAAAGTGGTGACTCTGGTGTAGAGAGCGTGAAGATCCAGCTCCTTCCCACCCACCACGGGGATCTTCTTAAAAGGAGACCTGCCAAAGGAGATACACACAAAACACCACAACTTGTCAGCTCTGCCCCCTTTTCTCCCCTCGCTGGGGCTGCCGTGTCCTTCAGGGAAGGGGCTGGAAGTTGGATCTGGTCGGTTTAAAAGCCTCCCCCCCTCCCGTTCCATCTCCCCATTTTCCTCACCCTCTGCTGTGGTGAAACTGCCGCAGCTCGTCCAGGAAAGCGAGTCCCTTTCTCCGCTGGTCTGCGTGGTTTTTACCCGTCGAATTTGCCATTTTTGTATTAAAAAAAAAAAAAAAGGAAAAAAAAAAAAAAAAAAAAAACGGCCGACAACAACAACAACAATCCCCGGCTCCTCCTTGTCTTTAAGAGACCCAGGTGCCCGTGCTCGGCCGGGGATCAGCCATGGAGAGGGGCTTGCTTAAAAAAAAGTTTAAAAGGAATAAGGGAGCCCCGAGAGTGTGGTAATTGCGAGTCCTGTCTCCACACAACACACAGGCAAAGAGACGGGGAGGGAGAGGGGCACCTCTCAGTAATTCCTCCTCCCGCCGCCGCTGCCTCTTCTCAGCACCACAAACCCAACCGATCCAGCCTGCACATGAGACTCAACATGGTGCTGCTGGATCACACAATGAATTGGGTTACTGTTGTGGTGGGGT